TTATTCTCTTGTCTGAGCACATGTGGGGCTGGTCCAGTTGGTGAAAATCCCTCCAGTTACTGAACTCACTCCATTTTTGCACCAATGTCCTTTTTTGAGAGCCCCATACTGCAGTCACACCAAATACAAAGTCCACAGCACTTGCTCAGCCAGCAAAATGTAGCACTGTTACATTATGGGCTTCTCTCAGGTTATCTCTTGTAGGTATATCGTGCCTGCCACACAGACCATGCTGTTTCAATGGCACCTTAGCATGAACAGTTCATCACACCAGAAATATTTTTTGCAGATTTCTCTTTTTTGCCTTTTTCTTATGTGTGAGTTTAGCTCAAGGGCAGAGAAGCCAAGGACTTGATGTTTAAGGACTTTTCACCCACATTTATTTAAAAGAAAAAAGTCCTTCACATCAGAAATTTCTAAGCAGAGGTTTTCAGCATCAAACAGAGTAAAGTATCATCAACTCTTTCAGCCTTCTCCCTGTCTTGGGCTGCTCCAACCCTCTAGTCTGTCACCACACAGACTATTACACACTTCTACCTGTGGACACTTGCTTCTCCTGGGTGAGGATCACTGGCTGCATAGGGGTGGTTGCCTCTTGTGGATCAATGCCCACCTGACTCCATTGAGTCTTGCACCTGATGCAGCACTCTCACAGTGCTGGACCAGGCATTAAATTCCTCTTTTCACTATATATATATCTATATATATATATATTTGTGAATTAATTAGCTACCACTTAAATGCTTAAATTGGCCTTAGTTTGTGTTCTTGTAAGGACATTAGATTGTAAGCTCCTTTAGGGTCAGGGACTGAGGATATCTTTAATGTCATAGCATATGCATACATGATATGATTAGGGTGGTCTTTTTTCATCAGTTAACATTTCACCCACATATTTTAAAGCTTATTACTGCATTCAGCTAGAACCGGTTTTTATCAAATCAGCTATTAATGACTATACTGGCACTTAAATTTCAATTCACTGGAGATTTGTGGCCCTACCAGCCTTCATGCTCATTAGTTTCCCTTTTTCCTTCTTTTAATTAACCATTCACCCATTTTTAGCAGCAAGATTAATAAGTAATGAGAAAAAGTTTTAGGTAAATGGTATTTTTTTAAAAAGAAAAAGTTATCAGAGATGTAAGTTTGATGCTTGTCGGAATAAATATGCAACAGATTAGCTTGTAGCAGTCTGATTTATAAAAATTGCTCTGCAGTTATGTGTGTTAGGCTAACAACACATGATTTGTAACAATCATTATACATTTCAACTTTAGAATTTCAACAGTTCTAACGCCACATTGTTGTGGCTTGGTCCGCTTAGGAAAATC